AGAACTCTATGCCAGTGGTTCTGAAGATGGAACATTGAGACTATGGCAAACTGTTGTAGGAAAAACATATGGCCTTTGGAAATGTGTGCTTCCTGGTAAGGATTTTTATTCAAATTTACAGAATTAAACTACATGATTTTATATCATTTCATCGTTGATTTTATTTCTGTGTTTCTCTTTTCTTTAGATTTTTAGATTATTTTATACTTATTAACTAAATAGGTGTTAATGATAATATATTAGTACTGTCTTTTCTGTTTAAATTTTTGTGTATATTTGTGTTAGTGTATTTCTGAATTTTTATACTAACTCATAAGATAAATGGCTTGGACCTAATTTAATATTTACTAGAGTCCAGTATAAATGAATTTATTTTTAATTAAAGAGCTGTGGCTATTGTTACCCAAATAATATGAACTAAAATTAATTTTTGAAGAATGACATACTATTTCAGAATGACAGTTGTGTTGTAGCTCACTAATTGAAGAGTATAAGCTTACCGTTCTTAAATGCTAAATCTTGTAATTCACATCACATACTCATCATTGTTTTTCTTTCTTTAGAAGAAGATAGTGGTGAGCTGGCAAAACCCAAGATCAGTTTTCCAGAAACAACAGAAGAAGAACTAGGTAGACTATTCATTGCTTTCTATAGAATCCTAGGTGAATTTAAAATTGATTTGATGCCAAATGAGAACTTTTCAAGTATAAACATAAAACTAGTGGGAAATTTTAAATAGTTCCTTTCAATGCCTAGAAAACCAATATTTTAATACATAGTAGGCATTGAGAATTTTGTGTGCAGACTGATGTCATTTAATTATACTACTTAGACATATTCATAATTAATTATAATAACTGAGACAGCAGAAGCTAAAACAGATCATTTAAAAAATGTAAATATAAGGTGCTCTTCTGGGAAAGAAGAGGAAACGTCTTGGAGAAGGGTTAGCGTTAGGAACAATGACCAGGAATAAGTTAGAAGAGTTAGTAGAGTACTCTTCATGAGGTTTACTGCAGGGAGGCAATAACTCCAACACTGCCATCTTACCTATGCTCAGAAGCAAGAGGCAGGAGCTAGGAAAACTTTTATGATGCTTCGAGGCACAAAGGCATGATGATTCTGGAAGTTAACATATTCCGTTCAAGCTGTGTGTTAGGACATAGCTTTACCCTAAGAGCAATGAGAAGCATATGAATTGTAAACGGAAGAATAAGAAGTTTAGATTTGTGTTTTTAAAAGATTACCACAATGGGACAAGAGTGAACATAAACCAGAGGCTTTATATGGCAACATGCAATAAAAATTGACATAGGGTACTTAAGAAAATACCTTGAAGATATGATGTGTTATTGGCAAAAAAGTTAGATGCACAATATCTATTGTTTGTATAAAAGTACAGTAGTCTAGGTGAGAGATCCTGTGGTTTTAACAAAGGAAATGGCAGTGAAAAAAAGTTGAGAGACTTAGTAGAGAATTGATAAAAACGATCACCGCTGCCACTGAGATTCTATTGCATAGTCAGTGACCCTTTAGCACAGAGTAGAATTGACCCACAGAGTTTTCAAGCCTGTAAATCTTTACAGCCTTACCTAGATTGCCTTATCTTCTTCTTCTGAAGTGGAGAATGTGTTCAAACTGATGACCTTTTTGTTTGTACACAAATGCCATAATCATGTTGCCACAAGGGTTCAAGAGTCCTTGAAGAATTTGTTGTGTACCATCAAGTCTGAACCAACTGTCCAGCTGACCTTTCAGTGGGTTTTCAGAGAGAGTAAATTGCACAGGAGGAGATTGCCATCTTTCTCTTAAGGAGCAACTAGTGGATTTAAACTGGCTGCCTTTGGGTTGCCAGTGCAACTTTTTTACTCATTAGACCACCTGAGCTGCTTATTTATGTTTTAGAGTCTAGAGCTGGTGGATCTGAACTGCTTATCTTTAAGTTAGCAGTATAGTTCCTTATGTGGTAAGAAGCTGTGCGGCAGTCTCAGTTTGATGGTACACAACAACAAGAAGCCACTGGAGTTCCCTAAAGAAGAAGCTATAGGACTTGGTAATTTTATTGTGAAAAGAAAGGAGTATAAAATTTGCCAGATTTCTGCCCTGAAAATCTTGGTATGATGATTGGTTGTCAAGAGGTAGATGGGAAGGGAGAATGGAGAGAGAGATTATACTTCATCCAGTTAGAATATTCCTTCAGTTTTTTTATTGCTAAACACCTTCCTGGGGGGGGGGGAATTTTGTTTTTCTTTTAGTCACACTAAGTGTTGGGATTTGAGTCATTACACCAAATGTCATTACCACGTGTTCTTTCCTAATGATTGAATTATGAATGATTCTGTGCTCTCCTTATTTAATTTTGTTTTACATTAGTCATGAAAGAGTAAAATACGTAAGCTCTTTCTTCATTGACCCATTTCATTTGCTGGATTTTCCTTTCTCCCATTATAGCTTATTTTAACAAACTTTATTCATTCATTATACACAAAGGAACATTTCCTCTTTTACTTTATTACATTGGGTGTTTTTGTTTTTTATTTCAGAGGAAATTGCTTCAGAGAATTCAGATTCCATCTATAGTTCTACTCCTGAAGTCAAAGCCTGAGCCTCAGGCATATGCCACAGAGAATATACAACCTATGGACTAAACAAGCAGAGAGAAAGCATCAGCCTACCGGGGTTACTCTCTGCTTAAGGCAAATGTGCGCAGTAAATAAAGGGGAATATGCATTAGCTCCAGCACTGGAACTAACTTGGTATTACCTGTAAGTGAAAACCCAAGAGTATCACAAGAAGGCAGGTGGATTCATGCTCTTGTAGTACGACAGCCTACTGTCCTTAAGAATGAATATGTGCAAGCCAACATCCAATTCCTCTTATTACAATTAGTTTTCTTGTAGCTGTTTATGTTATTATGGAGAAAAAAAATATAATGGCCTATTTTTCTGACTTTTCCCTTAAAGCAGAGAGACTTTTGCTTTACTTGTAAAGAAGAGGGGATATACATTATAAAGTAATTGGTTTAATTTCTTTTTCATTGTACACTGCTTCTGAACAACATCTAATTGTTTTTAGTTGTCTAAATAAATTGGCTCTAAAACAAAACAGTGCTATATTTCTTCAGAAAAACAGATTTACATTTTATAAATGAAAAAAAGTATGATTTTTCTACATTGTAACAGTTAAAAGGCAACTAAGACTCTTATTGCTTGCTGTTAGGTGCCATTAAGTTGTTTCTGACTCATAGTGACACTATGGACAATGGAAAGAAACATTACCCAGTCCCTGGACTATCTTCACAATCTTTGTTGTCTTTGAGCCCATTGTTACACCCATTTTTGATCTTCCTCTGCTTTTGCAAAGATGATGTCCTCCAGGTATTGGCCTCTTCGATCATGTGGCAAAAATACATGCTATGATTCTGTCATCCTCACTCTAAAGAGCATATCAGCTATACTTCTTTCAAGACGTACTGTTCTTGTCAGTGCTGTACTCAATATTCCTTACCAACACAATTCAGAGGCATCAGTTCTTCTCTTGTTCTTTTTTTGTTTTTTAATTCATTGTTCAGCTTTCACACACATATGAGGCATTTGGCAATATCATGCATTGAGTCAAGTACTTAGTCCTCATCTTTGTACTTTAAAGAAGCCTTTTTAAAGGAATGTGTTTGATTTCTGGACAGTTTTTCCCTTATAGGCACTGATTGTGAATTCAAGTATAATGATTTTGAGGGGTGGCATTGGGTGGATGAGAAAGCTTTTTACTTGTAGCAAGTAAAAAGGAAACTATTGCCTTAAAAAAATACCTACTTAAGAAAGGGGAGTTTTGAAGCATTATTTGTAGGCTAGGTTAAGGGTGTGGAAAGGCAGAATTCTCAGAAAAGGGGGTAGGCAAATTATAGACTCATGAAGCTAGCTAGCTTTCAAAATAGAGTCTGTCTAGTTATGTGTCTAGTCATCACAGGAGATGGGCTATGGATTTCCTTTTCATGGTTGCTTTCTCTGGAGGGTCACGTATGTTCATTCTTTGTTGCTACAAATGAATGGCACTTGAAAGCTCTCTCAGATAGAACGGAAACTGTTAGAAATACCTGGGGCTTGCCTGTTTAAATTCCAGGCTACAGATATAGGGTGTGCCTGGGTCTTGTGATTACTTGTGATTGACCTTGATCTGAACTTAGGTGGGGAAAAAATAACTGCTGCAATAGAGAAGACATTTTATTCAGCATATTATGTAAAGAGGGGAAAAAAGTGGGCAAACAGGAAATGCAATATGTGATAAC